AATCAGTTCTCACGGAAACCCTCACACTTTCTTCTGTTATGCCATCTTTTAGAGAGAAATATGGCTCATTATCGAGATCCGTCTGCTACAAGGTTGTTTGCTCATGTGGTCGATCTTATGTAAGTGGGACATGCCGACCTATTTAAAAAGATTGGGGGATCAGAGAAATGCTTGTAAAAGAAGCTGGGTCCAACGATCAGAAGTGGCCGGACACATGGTAGAGACTTTACATGAAATAGAATGGTATTCAGCTAGTAGGTTTGCTGATTATGGTACATCTGCGGTTAAAAGAAAGATAGGAGAGGCTATTAAAATGAATATCTTACGAAATACTTTGAATGTAAGTAATGTGGTAAAAGTAGAGTGGGAACTAATTATGCTTGATTGATAGATTGAAGGAGAGAGATGGTGTTGAGCCGCCGTCAAAACAAAGGCGACTCAACTGGTCTGCTCAGTGATGGTTCTAACTTCACTCACACTCGTCTAACATGTTAGATTAATCTCTTCAACCATATTAGACATGCCAGATTACGCAGTCCTAGTCATTCCTTTCTTTGTATATTTAAACGTTAATAAGCCTAGACTGAGAGGTTAGAACAAGTGGTTTAGTAACTTGACTTACATGCTTGCAAGCTTGCTTGCTTATGGACTTACGCAGTCCCGATCAGGGCTTTCTTTTGGGTCATTAAGCCTTGGTGATCAGAGTCTGATATTAGCCTTTTGATAACTCTCATTTAGGACCGGTATTGCGTATAGACGCTAACACGCACACACTCGCGCAAAAGTACCGGGACCAGTATGAAAGATAATTAGTCAAACCACTATATATATATCTAGGTTTTTTATTTTCTTTTGCTTAATTGAGTCTATATAAGAGGTTAGATAGAGCCGGATAATCTTCTTGCCCTAGTGTTAACGTGAGACTTTTACAGTAATGAGACCCAGCTCTGATTATGTCCATCATATGATGGACGAAAGCTCAGCCCGTTTTCACCCGGAACGAGGAAGGAGGTCCTGTGGACTGCACCAACATAAACGTCGTATAAAAGCCAAACGGCTGCAGTATAACGGGATTCATCCAACCTCTTCTGGTGATATCGACCTACGAATCTCTTCTTCATGCACTTTCATGCGTAATGGAAGTCCCTCCAACATTGATTTATTATGCAGATATTACTTGTTTACTAAGGTGGCAGGTGCCAAATCTTGCGAATTATTTATCGCTTATAAGAATTGGGATATATTGAAAATAATTTTTTTGTTATACTCGTACATATAATTGCTGCAAATTTTAAATAATAGAATGGCTGAGCTGCAAATCAACTTTTTCACTCTAGTGGATGACAAAGAGCTGGCCAAACGACTGAATGTAAGGTCACTCTATTCTTCGTGGACCTCAAAGCGTGCTGGCAGTAGCAGTGGAGGTACGAGTTGTGTTGGCACTACTGGGGGGGGCAGTAGCAACAGCAGCAGTCAGATTCTTTCACCCATATCTTCGAGTTCACTTTCTTCCTCTTCTTTGCAATCTAACTCTACTGGGACTGGAAGCTCTTGTAATAACTCCCTGGCTAGTCCAAATTCTGATTCTGGGTGTCCACGGACGTCTAGTGTCTGTCTTGTGCCGAATACCTGTCAAGTGAGTGGAGAGGGTGGACCGATTCCCGCTGACATTCGAGCTGCTATCACCACATATTGGCGCTTGAAACGCCGTTCTAATTTCAACCTGCCTTTGATTGATCCGGCTCCACTTACCTGGCCTTCTGTGGATGACCTTCAGAGCAAACGGGATGCCTTAGAGGTAAATTAGCCTGTTTTACAAACTTTTACAATTAAAAATGACATTCCTTGTGTGAAAGGTAAATTATGTCTACAGATGGTTCGAAAGGAAGACTACAAATCATTAACGGCTTTCTTATTTGCCATTGACTTTCTAGTATTTAATGTGTATTCTTCGAAAGTTTTCGGTACGCCATCACTAAGTTTCATCATAGGTTCCTCCAGTGCTGTAAGGATTGTAAAGGTAAACTTTTTAATAATGAATTTTATTTAGCTTTGTTTTCCAAAAGGTTTTTTCATCTAGTTTTGACCTCGCCTAAGAGTTATCAGCACCTTCAACGAGATTCGAAACCAGGAAATACACTTCAGTTAGAAACAAATTATCACTTCGCCACAT